TTTTTTTTTTTTGTTAACTGAATCAACAATGCGTCAACTACAATAAAAATATTACCTGACGTTTCAGTTGAACCCAAATGCCTTTTTCTTTTGCTTCTTTTTTCTTCTTTTCATTCTCCTTCACACGCTGCAGAAAGCTGTCTCTGCTCTTGGAATGTTTAATATGCTCAATACGCACATTAATTCTCTTGGCAAGAATCTTGCCCCTAAGAAAAGAAATCAGGTTTTAATCCACTGTACTTGGAAAAAAAAAACCTCCTTCAAAGCTAGTTTTATGGCCCTTACATAAGTAACTCCATAAGCTCAATAACAGGTATTTTTTTCTTTAAAGGGCAATCACTCAAACAATTTAGGATTAAAACCCTACAGAACATGTAACTTTAACCTTGTAGTGTACAAAGATTGTATTACCACTGTACTCCAGTCAGTGGAAGAAAAACAACTTGTCCTTTTCCTACTAAACCATACAAAATCCAGCTGAACACAGCTACAAATTAATATTTAAGAAGGGCTTCAGTATCAATGTGAAAGTTGGCTGAAAAAGCCCATTAGGTAATGTCACGTTAAGTGCTGCTCAGAAAAATAAAAACTGTTTCCTCTGACAGGATCCAAGTCAAATGAGCATCATTTGCTTGGGTTATAAAAAGGATATGTACTTTACCCACCTTGAATGACCAATCAAGACAATAACTGTCTAACTGGTAAAGTGAAAGGAGGGTGCAATTAGAGATTAAATTTCCCAAATACAAAGTTTTAATACACAGAATTTCATTACTTACTTGACCTGCTTGTTAACAATAATGCCCACAGCGTGCTGAGTAACGTTATATACCCTTCCAGTCTTGCCATGGTAACACTTGTGGGGCATACCTTTTTGAACAGTACCCATACCCTGTTAAGAGGTAAACCAAGAATAAAGCATAAACTTTAACCTGGGGAGGGGGGGAAGCAACATCAAGGACTTTTCTTTCAGAAGTTATTTAAGTAAACATTTCAAATTACTGGAGAATGATTTAAAATTACTCTTAGTTTATTTGTACATTAGAATTTATAACCATGCATTTTATATCTGAAGACTACCAAGTTCTGCTACGACAATTCTGGTTGCTTTCAGTGTCGGTGAAATGATTGATCACTTTGCTTTCAGCAATCAATCATAAGAGACAATCATCACCAAGCTCCAGTGTGTCAAGAAGTGTTAATTCTGAACAGTGCAGTTCTCAAATAACAAGCAAATTACACACCATCTTCTGTGTGACGGTTACAAAAACTCTGCATTTCAAATTAAACTAAAGGATTCAACAAAATAGGAATCCTTGATGAAGGCTTTCAGATTCACTACAACTTATTTGTTTAAAGTACAGTTGATTTTAAAGGAAAAGTTCTAGAAAATCCCAAGTGATGGGAAATGCTGCTTCACTTCTTTCCCCTGTATTAAATACATACAATATATCCTTACATTTACTTCTTGGTTTCTAGTTTTAATGTGGCTTTGCAATCACCATCCCTGTACATACTTAAGTCTAGTCCTACAATGGTACAGAGACACAGACATAGCTTACACACATGCATATATTAAAAAGCCACATAAAACAGCACAGGATGCT